ATATATATATTTATTTATTTATCTTCAACCTTCTTAAAAAAATAAAAAAATAAAAAAAAATGTTTTAGAACTAACTTTTATTTTTATTAAAAATAAAAAATTAAATAAATTACTCGAACAATATGAACCAACCCAACTAAAAAAATTATGGTTGGATCAGCTTGATTCATTATTTAATAAAAATTATTTTTGTTAGAAAAGTTTACAACCTCGACCATTATGTTGAGTTTAAAAAAAAAAAAAAAACCGAAACCGATATTATGAAAAGAAAAAAAAAAAGAAGGCCAAATTGCATAAATCAACTCTTAAACTAAACTAAATTGCAATTTCACCCATAAACCTTGAACTCTCATGTAATGGTCACATAAATTTTTAGGGGTAAAACTGCAATTATTATTATAGTCTAAGGGCGAAATTGCAACCATTATAATAATTTAGGGGTATTTATGCAATTTTTTTTTAATCATAATAATATTGTCGTGCGCTAATAAAATATAAAAGGCATTTATAAAATGATTACATGACCAAATAATAATTACCGTTAAAGTTTATCCAATAAGATAGAATCGGATGCACAGGAATATTATTCCCTCGGTCGTCTCTTTTTTATGAACGCTCCAAGAAACGGTAAGGAGTTTCTCATCGCGATTTTCCCAGTGAAAGCAAATTCTCTCTCAGGGGATTTTCCTCCACATTCCGGCGTTGTTTATCGTCTCTGAAAGTTAATCGACGTCGAACTGCTCCATCTTTGCGGCAGCGTAGGAAGAGGAAGAAGAATAGAAAGATGAAGAGGGTTTTTGGCGTTAAGAAAGACAAAGAACCGCCTCCGTCTATTGAAGATGCCTCCGAAAGAGTAATTTTTTCAATTTTTTTTGTTTTTTTTTAATTTTGTTACCTCTAGGGTTTTGATTTTTGGTTGGCATTGATTTTGCCTGGTGCGTTTAATTTTATGGAAGGATTGGTTGATTCTCTTTTGTTGGATTCATTTGTTTTGGTTAGGGTTCAACGTTCTGTGTTGCTTCTTTTTCAGATTAATAAAAGAGGCGAATCAGTTGATGAAAAGATAAAGAAGCTTGATGTCGAACTCAGTAGGTATAAGGAACAGATTAAGAAAACAAGGCCCGGTCCTGCTCAAGAAGCTGTTAAAGCTCGAGCGATGAGGGTTTTAAAGCAAAAACGAATGTAAGCTTCCTTCGTGCTATCACATCTTTTGTAGCTTTGCTGATCATTTTCTTAAAAGATAAGTAGTTTGGTTGTGAATACTTTGGAATGTTGGTTTCGGTGAACTGATTAGGAACTTCAGATCTTGAGACCTGGCTGAAGCTTAGATGTTAGGGGTGTTCGTGTATCATGGCTCAAGTATAACATATATGCTTACTTAATCATGTTTCATTGAGGGGTTTTGTTATCTAACTTAGTTCTGTAATCTTAGGGCTATAAGCTACCATAACATAAGAAGAGTTAATTCGTTAGGTTACCAGAAAATTCTTTGAATCACACGTCTTCTTTTCCTTTTTCTGTTCCACTTTTCAAACTTTTTCTTGCTGTGTGACTACTGATCGGTGCCCCCTTAGACTTTTATTGTCCTCAATTTAATTATGTATTTTGATGTAAGAAAGCTAGTAGATTTAAATGTTAGCTATCGAACTGGAAGCTGGTCCAAGTGCTACATAACAATACCTTTACATATGGTTGTTATGTTACTTCTTATGCTTGTGAACAGGTATGAAGGACAACGTGATATGCTGTACAATCAGACGTTTAACCTCGACCAAGTTGCATTTGCCTCAGAGGGCATAAAAGACGCTCAACAAACGGTACATATCCTTTTTGTGATCATCGTTGCTCATTTTCTGCCGCCCTCCCAAAAAAAAAAAGGAAAAGGTTGGGCTGTCCATGACAAATTTGGCTTGAAAGAGATTTGGTGTTAGATCAAGGAAACTTTTGGATATTGAAACGGATAGCTTATTGGCTTCTTGCATGCTAATTGTTCGACTAGACATCCTGCATTTAAGTTTCTGTGTTTATAATGTGGGTCAGATGACCAAGAAACCTGGGTTGAGGTGGTTCCTATTAATGCCCCAGTTAATTCTTGCCGAAAATTTGTTTTCTTCGTAGCGAGGTCAGAGTTCAGGGCAGTTCAGGTGGAGCTTTTCCTGTCTAGTTGGAACCGGCTGCCTACCTCGTGAGATAACGAGGTAGGGGACAAACGTCATTCGGAAGGCATTTCTTGAAGTTCAATAACATGTCTATCTAGATTCTCTTATGGTTCTTCCTAATATCGGTCTAGCTTTTGATGGGATTTGACATCTGGGATGTATTTATCAAATCAAATAGGGGACTAAACTCTGTCAAACTAACGTTTTTCTTTTTCGTTTTTCAGATGTCGGCCTTGAAATCTGCCAACAAGGAGTTGAAAGGAATGATGAAAACAGTGAGGATACAGGACATAGACGTCAGTAGTAATCAACTCTTTTTAGCATCCTTTAAGTTTAATTATGGTATTTTTTGAGAAGTTTTGTGTTGTTTCCTGCAGAACTTGCAAGACGAAATGATGGATATGATGGATGTGAGCAATGAAATTCAAGAGACTCTTGGTAGGAGCTATAATGTGCCCGATGACATTGACGAGGATGAACTTTTGGGCGGTAAGACTGCTCCATTTAAATGTTCAAATTTGATAAAACATGACACGCTAGAAGCTTACGCCTTTACTGCCTTTTTCGAACGTAGAGCTTGATGCCTTGGAAGCAGACATGGGATTTGAAACTGAAGCTGATGGGGTTCCATCTTATCTCCAGCCCGACAAGGAATCCGACTTGGAAGGAGAGCTCAATTTGCCTTCAGCTCCTACAGGGCAGACAGCAGTTCCTACTGGCCGAACCAATGCACAGGTAACAATCGCTGAAACTTCAGTTCAGACATATACTGAATCCAATTTCTTTGAGTCGATAATCCCGTACTTGCTCGTTTAGATTCTAGACACATGCTAATGCAGTTGTCGTTCATGGTGCATTAGCACGTGTGGTTTAACACCGCATCCATTAACATAGAAAAGATCTAAACAAGTTCTAACCAAATGGTCTATAAAGGTCAAATAAGGGACTTAAAAAGGTCGAGTTCAAGCCGGGATAACCACCTACCTAAGATTTAATATCCTACAAGTTACCTTAATAACCAAACCGTTGGCATTTGTCTGTCACTAGAGCAAGTAAGAGAACAATCAATGAATCAACAAGAAACACCCATTATTATCGGATTGTACACCGTTGTGTCTAGCTAGGGCTAAGCAGTTCTCGAATGAGAATAGTTGAGATGTGCAAGTCGGGCTCAATTATGACGAACATTTAGATAAATAAATAATAATTGTAAGTGAGTTCTTGCTTTACAATTGCCTCTTTTATATGCGCTCTCATTGAGTTTTGTTCTAAATTTGATGCACAGGCTGAGGATGAATTGGGGTTACCAGCTGTTCCTCGCGCATCCCTTCGTGGGTAAAAGGTATAAACTGATGGAGTGAACGAACCCCTTTGTATACATGTTGTGCAGATTTTATAGAGAGATATTTTTATTGATCTTATAATTAATTATTCACTTCCATCATCATTTGGAACTCTAAAATCTTTGGCTATACTGATCAAACAGTTATTATTATGTATACCTCATGAAATTAATGCTATAAAATGACACTAGAGGGTGGAGATTGCAATAATTAACTAACTCTATGGTTCAATTTTATACAAATTTCCAAAGTTATTAACCTATTTAGAAACAAAATTTACATATAAAAGTTATTTAATTTTTTTTTTAAAAAGAGGTTAGACTATTGCTAGCATATTGACCTCTTTGGATGCTGGGCTTGTATGGGTGGATTGGGGGTGTCCTTTTCCAAAGAGGGTAATATTTGTTAGTAGTGAGTTTGGGCCATTACTAATGGTATCAGGGCCAAACGTTGGGTGATGTGTGCCAGCAACGAGGCTAAGCCCTGAAAGGGGTGGACACGAGATAATGTGCTAGCAAGGACGATGGGCGTTGAAGGGGGGTGGACATGAAGCAGTGTGCCAACAAGGATGTTGGGTCTCCAAAGGGATGAATTGGGGGTTCTCACATTAATGCGAGAAGGGAATGAGTGCCAGCAGCGAAGACATTGGGCCCTAAATTCAAGGCAAATTGGGAGGTATCGTTGATTGAAGGGAATGAGGGTTAGCGAGGACAGTGGGCCCCAAATGGGGATGCATTGTAAGATCCTACATCGATTGGGAGTAGAATGAAATATTCTTGAAAGATGTGAAAACCTTTCCTTGGCAAATTGGGGAGTAGAACGAAACAATTTTATAAGGGTGTGGAAACTTTTCCCTATCATATGTGTTCTAAAAAGTAAATAATATAATATCTACCAACGATAAATTTGGGCCGTCACAGTTTCTTATAATTAAAATAAATAAATTACAAATTTAGTACGCAAAATTCATACTTTCAAGTTCCAAAAATGCTTAAAATATTGAGGATTTGATTCCTAGTTGGGTAACACGTCGCCATAAATCACTCTCTTTCAAATTCCAAAAAGAAAAAAGAAAAGATGCGTAGATAAAATTTGCTTGAACAATGATGAGAGATTATATTGTAGGTCCATTTTCTTCCTGTCTTTCTTTTTCAATCTGTTCTTCAATTTTTGGCTGCAAAAAAACTTTCAACTTCAAAACCCTTCCTTCTTCCTCCAATCCAAAAGGTTCATTTTCAAACACAGAGAGACAGCAAAGATGAGAAAGAAAGATCAGGAGTTCAAGTTTCTTCTTTTTTTTTTTTTTTTTTTTTCCTTTTTCCTGCAAATATATCCTAGGGGGTCAGATCAGTGTTCATTTCATTGGCAGAAAATAATTGCCAATGGCAGAAGGAGGCAAGCAGTTCAGTCACATGGATTCTATGGTTGATCCTTCGATGGTTGGTTCGGTCTTCCCTCCGACTACTCGGCCGAGAAACGAATCGGGAGAAGATGGCTCAAAATGAGTTCTTGACTTGCTGTTTTGCAAATACAACCTTCAATTTCTCCACTTCCTTCTTGAGTACCTGGTGTCTGCCTGTAGCAAGGTGAGTTTTAAGCACCATTAGAAGAAAAGTTATGGTATTCAGTAAATGATGAATTCGTTCTTTTGCCCATGATGATCGGTGAGACCATTATAGGAAAATGGACAGAAAGACAAAGATTCTCCCACTGTGGGGAGTTTTGATCATAGTAGAAATCTCAGTAATAAGTTTAGATCCCTTACTCTTACTCGTACTAAAATATAATAATAAAGCCCATATGCTGGTTGGGACGATGAGAATGGACGGGTATTTTGCTGCTAGGTTCGTATTCGGACGGGTTTCGTATAAAATGTCCGAACTCATGTATAGTCTGTGGTGAGGCCTGATTCCAGAGTTTCTTCTATGCTTAGCACTCCAGAAACAGGTTCCCTAAATCTAAGTTTATTAAATCATCCACTTATACCACAGGTTATGTTGAACTTGTGCCCCTAAACGTCCCAAATCAGTCATTATGGGGGCAAGTAATATGATTGGAACAACCAAATTACTGCACAATTCGGACAGCCCGCACGATTTAGAGGAAGATCAGCCTATGTAACAAGAACTCCGAATGGGTTCAACACGCCTTCCATCAAAGTAGAAAACTTGGTCTCTAGTAGGACACTAAATCAAGACAACGTTAAAAATACTCACTTTCACTGAGCTACATACCGACACTAGGCCACAGACATTTAAACTAATGATCTTCATTGACCATAATCTGTTCAAGATGAAACATTACTCTTAGACACAACATCATTATTCATAACTAACGCCTAATGGAAGATGTTAAATTGGTGGCCTTCTCAGATCTATTACGGTAGTTCACTCTTTTGCTTTTTTAGTTGGAAATCGAACTGTGTAGACGTTCTTTCCCTTGAAAAGGCAGGATTCACTGGCGTAGCTGGAAGCTGCTGTGAGATCTCTGGAGCGACTACCTTAGTCGTGGGATCCCCGAACCTTCCAAAAGTGAGGGGTATAATCTCAATCAAACCATTAGTAGATGAGAAAAAGATTGTGTATATCTTGACTACACTTCTCCATGTTCTGTAAAATGTAAACTTCCTCAAAAGATCTCCTCATAAAGATTAAAGGTTCAGTCAACTCGACTGGTTTCTTTGTTATTGTCTGCTAAGTTGACTTGTAATGGAGAAACACGTTTGATCTTTGAATAGTTCCTAGAAGGCTCTCCAAAAGTTCTTGTTATTAAAAGGACTAGCATCGGTAACATCAATCGACTCCTCCTAAGCTCCTTTCCAACTAAATGGGCTTGCAAGACTCATCAAACATAAACATCTCACTTTCCTCTTTCTATTGCTTCTCCATTACAAGGATAGACTTTTCCGAGGGCCTAGCCAAGTAGTAAGGACTTGTTTAAATATTGTCTTGGGTCTCTCTATTATCCATGGATACCAAGGATTTGGTACCTCCAGTTGAATGGGATTAAGAGAACACCAACATTTTTCCTTTCACTGTTGTCAAAATTGAAGATTTCAATTAACTGGCAGGGCCGATTGTTGGAAGTCTTCTCAACCGAGAGAGACACGGTCCAGGGTTCCCTAAAGAAGTTCATAGCTTAGAGAATACGACGACACTTCTGGAGAAACCAGTAAGCTGGCTAAGGAACTATAAGAATAAAATGGAAAGTTGTCTTTAAGACTTGGGAAACCTCACTCTTCTGCCTTTATATCTAACATCAAACGCCGTACTAGAGCTGTTTTTCTCAATCACTCACTTACTCAGGATGGAATACTTCCAACCAATCTCGCTAAAAACGACATCTCAGAAACAAATGACAGAAAAAAGAGAGCAACGGAATGGAAGGAGTATTAGAGAAACAAAGGAGGATCGGGAAGGAGACGGGGGCCGTTCCCGATGCCTTGTAATTCCAGGCTGCAGGCTTTGGGAGGATAAAAGAAAATCCTCCTTACCACCTTATATTCTTTGGTAGTCTCTTTACATCAACATGACATTTGGTATTATGATGCATGTCAGGATAGTCAAAATATTTGTTATTGTGAGCTAGCATCTAATTCACACTGTTAAATTTTAGCAAACAAGTTATATATACACGAAAACAATTTCTCAAAAATTGCTTGTTTGCAAGTTCCAAGCAAACCGAATTCAATGAGAAGAAAGAGGCAAACAAAGTTACCTTCTGAAGTCAATTTTTCTCGTCGAACTCTTGCAACCTGCTGCTTTAATTTGCTATTCTCCATCGATAGAGCCACCCGTTCTTGAAGCAGTGATGCTACTCGTATTGCCAGCTGTGATTCTACAGTCTGCAGAATGAGATGAAAGCTTTTGGCTGTGGTTTATGTTGTTCTCAAGAAATATTATGACAGTAAAAGCGAACAGCATCCGTTCTCCATAGATAAAGCCACACGTTCTCGAGTTTCTTATAAACAAAAAGCAAAAGAGAACGGCATTCATATTTCTAAAGAACTTTTTTTAAGGAGCGTCAAGCTTTCTTGTTAAATAACAATTCTGCAACTACGAAGATGAAAGGTGCAGACATTAGTAATTTGCATGTAATCAAAGCTTTCTTACTTATTTATAATAAGAAACAAAAATTCTCCTCACCAAAAGAGGAAGTACAATAAGGGGAGATGAGATGCCCCCACACAACAAAAGGATTACAAAGAAGACTCCCAATTGGCAAAATTTTCAGTCACGCCATGATTTTAAAAAACGATCTTTAGAGGTGGAAGACCAAGAAGCAAAATTCTAACGAGGTCCCAAGTAGCATCTTGTGAGAGTACTGGGATTGTTTGCTTCGGGTTATATGGGAAAGATTAGTATATTAATAGTAAGGACAAAGCGGTAATTAGTTAGAGGAATCTAGGTCATAAATAGGAGTGTTGGAGACCTTAGTTTGGAGGGTCATTTTAGTGAAGTTTCCATTGTGGGACTTTGGGAGAGAGAGCCCTCTCAAAAGGCTATTGTCACATGGTAGTTTGTCTTGATATTGCAAAAAATTAATATCTTGTGTTTTCTGCGATTGGAGTGTTAGGAACCACGACTCTCCACAATAGTATGAGATTGTCCACTTTGAGCATAAGCTCTCATGGCTTTGCTTTTGGTTTTCCCCCAAGGCCTCGTGCCAAGATGTATTCCTTACTTATAAACCCATGATCAACCCCTTAATTAGTCAATGTTGGAGTCCCTCCCAACAATCCTCCCCTCGAACAAAGCACACCATAGAGCCTCCCCTTAATCAAGGCTCGACTCCTTTCTCTGAAGCCCTCGAACAAAATACACACTTTGTTCAACACTTAAGTCCCTTTTGACTACATCTTCGAGGCTAACAACTTTTTTGTTCGATGCTTGAGGATTCTATAAATATGGCTAAGTTAAGGGCATGACTCTGATACCATGTTAGGAACCACGACTCTCCACAATGGTATGATTTTCTCCACTTTGAGCATAAGCGCTCATGGCTTTGCTTCCCAAAAGGTCTCATGCCAATAGAGATGTATTCCTTACTTATAAACTCATGATCAACCCTTTAATTGGCCAATGTGGGACTCCCTCCCAATAATCCTCAACATGGATACCTAACACATCCCTACTTATCAGCTTAGAAATTATCAAAATTATAGTATTCTATACTAATGGATGTTTAATAGTGCAAAAAATACATTTCTCCAGGTGTCTTTGTAAGCAGCTATTTTTGGGAGGGGCATCTCTCCTCCCCCCGGCCCCTTAAGTTGTCTTTCCTTTTGCATCTCCAAGTTTCTTATAAAAAAAATATAGTGCAAAAAATGACCAGAAATCAGAAAAGTATCATCAGTCCAATAAGGGTTGATCATCATAGGCTAGCCCAAATGTTCCAATGGAATTACCTGGAGAACATTAACCTTCCTCTCCAGTTCAGCAATGTATTGAAGCTTACGAACCCTTGAGCGCTGCCCGTTATGCCTGCAGGGAAATCATTAGACTTGTGTACCTATCACAATACTTTTTGGAAATAGAAACAGGGACCTATAGGCATAAGCAATAATCAAGGTTTAACTCTCGATATCAAAATCTATATATCAAAGTAGTGGATACCAAAAATTAAACCCGTCCTCGTCCATACATACATTTACTAAAATGTAAAGAGTGGTATCATTTCATCAGCTTAAATTGGACAATGTATCTCCAAACAGTTTTTAATTTGACAAACAAGCTATTGGAAAGAGAAAGGAAAGAACACAAATTCTTGACATGCATGACACAGGCAAAAAGGCAGGATCACTTGGACCCTGTTTCAGATTTGAGAAAGACAATGCACGTTTTTGTGACATGTCGGGTGTAGGCGAATGCCACAGGTTCTTCATTGCATATTTGATCTCATACTTATAGTCATTTACATTATCTTTCCAATTGTGTCGAATGTCCCCGAGGGAACCATGGTTGCTTACATTATCTTATCAAGAACAGATGTAACATGACTCGTCACCAAATAACAACGCATCATCAGTGAACGAATAAGATAATGATCTAATCGTATAATCAACAAGAAAAATAATGCCAGAGGAATTGAAAATAAAAATGTTAGAATCTGACCGTTTTGCTGCGTTTTCATCAGAGTTAACCTCCCTAACTGATTCGCTAATGTCTCCATTTAACTTTGAAGAAGAGCTCTCGCCAACCGAACAAAAATCTGTGTGCACTGGTGTAGCATGGTGAAGATGAACAAATTCCGATAATGCAGAAACCATATTGTAGTTTGAAAAATCTGAACTGCATTTTTTCCTAGGTGAGTTAGGTCCATAAATGCAAGATGGATCCCATTGTTCACAAGTGTCATTGCCAACGGAATTCTCCACATCTTTTTCAATACAAAGACTCCTCAACGAGTCTGCAAGACCATCCAAAAGGGTGACAGAGTCACTAGCCGAGCGACGAAGTGGTTTTCCTTTCGAATTTGATTCACAGTCGCTTAATAGTTCACCAAGCCATACAGGCTCATCCTCCAACACAGAACTTTGTGAAGAAGGAGTGTCACGATGCAGAAAGAATTCATTAACAGGTGGGGATAACGCGACCGAACCATTAATTGAACCCGCAGTTGTTCTCTTTTGAATTGGACAGCGAGGAGGAAGGTGAGTTTGCCTTGTTGACATGGTGAGGCACTGGACTATATCACAAGTTTCCCATCAGCATCAGCCTCTTTCTTAGCTTTTAAAAGTGCTAAGTTTTTGGTTGGAAACGAAAAGGACAATATGAAAAGGAAACATTTCCCTGGCAAACATATCTTTAATAGCAGCCGAAATCACGGGGGAAAACAAAAGACAATTAAATTTTAGAACAAATAAACTTCACGACAACAAAAGATGACCCAAAATCTTCATCAAACATCTTCAATTGAAAGCTTCATTCACATTACTGAAACTTGATTTGCAGCCAAAGAACAGTGAAGAACGTAAAAGATATCAAATCACCTTAATCTAAACCCCAATAAACTCTCAAATCAGTGTTTTGTCTCTCTTTCTCGCCCTTTCTCAGCCACAAAACAAGAAAATGCCTATAAAATTCACTCCAAATTCAGAACCTCACAAGTTAAAAAGCCATATAAGGTCCTCATTCATCAACGCAACTAAGAAAAACAAGCTGCATTATACATTTTCAAAGCTCAAACAAGAATCACAATCCAACAGTAAAATCGCACTAAAAAACAATCCACTCCATAGAAAAGCGAAATCGAAAACAACAGCCAAAGCGACAATAAACACAACCGAAAGCTCTCGGAACTGATTTTCAAGTGGTGAACCAAAAAGAAAACAAAGGGATTTGAATTTCCCGAAGAATTTATAAAAATCATCAAGTTTCAATTCGAGTTTTGGCATTTTCTTGAATTTGATTCCGTTCTGTCGCCTTACCTCGCCGTTTTTGCAGCAGTAATTGCTCAGATAGAAGAAGAAAACACCATCAATCAGAAGAAGAACAAGAAAAAATTCAGATTCCCTCTCTTCCCTTCGAAGCAGTCGCTCCGAAAGCACCGGCAAAACCCGCTTTTGCGGCCACTCCTATATTTACTCAACTATGCAGCAGCGTACGAAAATTTTAGATTCATGTTGCTTAAAATACACCTTTTTTTTGGGTTCGTTTGAAATCCATGCTTTTTTCGAAAGCATAATCATTAAAATATTGTATTAAACATTTTTTTTATTAAAGTTTTAACACTATTTAAAAATTAATAATAATAAATAACACCATTTTTTTAAAAAAATTAAATAATTATAAACGGTCGTAATATTTCTTTGGTCAACGTCAAATTATGTTCTATAATCTTAGTTGTCTTTTAATTTTTTTTTAGTATACAATCTGATGTCCCAGTTCCAAGCTTTGAGATAAATGTAAATTTTGAAAATAAAATAAAAATCGTATGTAATATAGGTGTTTTTAATTAAAATAAAATAAAACGTTCGTGCGGAAATAGACAAATTTTAATTAATGATACATATTCAAAAAGTCAAATAGGTTGGTTTATGTTTCTCGACGTAACATTGGTCACTCTCGAGATGGTGTAACAAAAACAAAGACAGTTTGACCAATTATAAGGAAGGTTTGACTTTGTAGGATGCTTGTAATTTTATATTATTTAAATTAGTAGGTTTGATTTAATAGGTCACACATGCTTATTTATTTATTGTCAATTAATTATTTAAACAAAACATGTTATTACAACACACAAAAAAAAAAATTATTATTAATTAAATTAAATTTGGGATTTTTTTTTTTTAATATATGCCAAATCAAATAAGGAAATGTTTTAAATAAAAATAATATTAATAATTTCATAGTTGTTGGATGATCAGCTTCTCTACCATCTAGCGCATCGCTCTCACTCCTGTCCAATCTTGTTTCAGTTCCATCCTAGCTCGATTTTGTTTGATTCGATCGGAGGCAGTCTGTAATTAACCTACTTACCTTAATTGTAGACCAATAGCTAAGTTAACCCGAGTTCGTACTTGCTATCATTTCTTTATCAAAGTCAATGTCTTTCATTGGGAGCTTTTACTCAGATTAAATAGTAAAAAGTCCAAATCTGAAAATTGGAAAGTCCATGTATTATGTTATTTATTTATTTATTTATTATTATTATTTTTTGTCAAGGTGAGGAATCCCAGAGCTCTCGACCATAGATAGTCAATGAAAACTACCAAGTCGGAATACG